GACATTGCTGATAAATTGTTTTTGTCACTGGCAAGAATCAGTCCTGAAATACTACTTGATCTACAGTCGTTGTACAGTATCTTCCTTTTTTAAATCCAAGGCAGTTCACTGTTGACAGTTCTTTTCACTCTTTTCTGAATATCGGAACATATGATTGCATCAAGCTGGCTGCAGGCTCCCGTGCTGACATTTTCTAGCGCAAAGAATGCCCACATCACTCGAACATTTGAAAAGTGTTAATGAGCAGATCAAAAGGACTGTTGCCTGAAGCAGCTAACTTTTTTTTTTTTTTGAAGAAATCGGCTCTCCTCCAAACTGAAATCTTCATTCTAGCAGCTAAGGAGATGAGATGTAGTCCTCCCTGATGATGATAATAACAAATGAAAAAAAAAATTGGAGAAGACTCAAACTCTGCATATGGTTCATAAAGTGGTGAAAGTGTTTTCCAGAATCTTCAATACAGAGCTGAAGGATGCTAAGTGGAAAAAATCCTGGCAACTAGGCAATATTATGCCTTTTAAAATCTGCAAATTCTCATAAAATATGGTGCATATGAATACATCCTTTTCTGAGAGGAATGTGTTCTTGCACTATTTAATACAAGAATGGGATTCTCATGACTGTTGTTTTTAATGTATTTGGGCCAACAGTCAGGTTTCCTTTTCTCCTGCACTAGTTTTACTGAAACGTAGGGATATCAGTGGACACTGATTTTTGCCATTTTTGGCTTTTGGGCTGAATGACTTCAGATTATCAGATTATTTTCAGCCTCCTTTGTTACTTACGAGGCTGTATGGTAGATTGCAGAGAAGGAGCATTTTGAAATGTCACACACACACACAATTTATTTCCTGTTCCAACACTTCTAGGGCATGGATGTTGGGTGTATGAATCGGTGTATGAATATTATGTCCTTATAAAGTGGGGATGACAGCATCTATCTCACAGAGTTACTATAAATACTGAACTATAGCTATCTGTTTATATCTATCTATCCATCCATCCATCCCAGCAAGTAACAAACTACTCAACAGGTCTTAAGCCTTTTCTCTTTCTCTTTTCTCTTTGTGATCCAAACCTTAATTTAAAAGAATGTCATGTGGCAGAAGAAGTTGAACTCAGAGTTTGGTGGTAGATGGGCCTGGGTCTTGGATTTGCATCTTAATTCTAGTGTTTTCTCTTTGTGTATCCTTGGACAGGTTACTAAAGTTAGAGCCTCCCTCTTATATTTAGAATGGAGATAAGCACACAGGATTATTATGAAAATGAGAGAACATAGAGTGTGTGGCGTATGTCAGCACCAATAAAGGGTGGTTATTGTTGATGGTATTAACAGCACACAGGTGAACCTCAGCTCTACTTCAGTTTCTTTAGGTTCTGTTGTTTGTTGTGGTGGTGGTTGTGTCTCTTAATCTACTAGATCAAAATTTGATTTATGTAGAGTTTTAAGGTTCTGTTTTCATTGTTAACAACATAGAAAATATAGTTGCCAAGATTTAAAAATCAATTTAAATTTATAATAAGTCATGCATAAGATTAATTACACATTATTGGAAAAATAAACCCTAATGTTCTTTTCTGGAATAAGGTGAATACAAATACATGTAGACATATGCCCTATTTAATTACATAAAGGCACAGAAGAAAAGAACCTAGTGGAACTATTGTGATATGTATTTTGTTGTATCAATCTATTAGAATTTTCATTTTGGAAAGGACCTACAATGAATCAAGTTTATTTCCCAGGTGAAGAAACTTAGTCTGGTCTTACGTTTTCCTATTTGCCTGTGAGTTCACATCTGCCTTTGAGTTCATTAGCTCTCTGACTTTATTGGTTAAAGAAGAAACTTGATATTTTGGTTTTTTTGGACCTAGAAATATTTTAGTTTCATGGAAATCTTTATTGGTTATCATTTATAGCTTTTTTTCTTAGTATTTTCCTTATAAATTTAGAGGTTGGCTGTGAGCCTTTGTGAACATTCTCAGCTAATTCCTTTAGCTCACTTTCAATCTTATTTTTAGTGTCTGTTGTTTGCAGAGCACTTTATTAGGCACTGTGATATTTATAAAGAGGGAATAATGATTATTGCCCTTCAAAAATCTACACATTTGAGGGGTAATTGAAAAATTCCAAAATAAACATATAAACCTAAGTTAATGAAGCATGAATGGTTCAACTGTGCAGCAATGCATATTTTTAGAAGTTTTAAACCTTCTAGATAAAGTGATAGAAAGTTGGTAGACTACTCTGTGAAGGCTGGATGGACTTAACATGGAAATGACCATTTTATTTGGGGTAGCATCTTCTGTCAGCTTGGAGTAAAGGAGCACATACAGGGATGTTTGTAGATTGAACATTAAGGCAGAACTGTACCACACTAAGGCATTTGAACAATGAGAATACAAGAGGTGGCTCCTGTAGATGTACTGAAAAAGGACCTTTCCTTTTCCAGGTTGTGGCTTGTGATAATAAGGGTCTTTGATAAAGAGAAAGAATGCAAAGATGCCTCTCGTCATTCTGTTGTGAGTTCATCAGCAATGGTCATAGGAGGATTCTAAATTGAAATTCAATTTGTGTATATCAGTGCTCAAACTCAGTGTTATGCAGGATAATGAGCATGAGAAATACGACGTAAAAAAGGAAGTGTCATGAAAGGCGATGTTCAGTAATTCTCAGGAGAATATAGTGTCGAACAGGGTTGGGAATACTATTTAAGTCCTCAGGTAATAAGCAGGGTAAATTTGAAACCCTCACAAGGAAATGAAAATGAGTTCCAATACATTATACTCAGACTTAGTGGAATGAAGGATGTCCCTTGGCCTTTGTCTAGTGACAGAACTCTAGAGAGCACTTTATGGTAATTTGCAAAAGTGAGTGGAAGCATGATTTGTGTGGTTCTTCCCAAAATTCTGTTAATTCCTTGATTTCGGTTCTCACTGGAACAATTGGTCCATTTTGACTAGAGAAGTAATCCGTCAAGCTTCTGTTAGGAAGAATATTGACCTGGCTACATAGGCTAAAATGAAGGTTGGGGTAGAGATAGAGAAATATGCTAGATGTCTAACTTAACTACCAGTAAAGCATGTAGACATTGATGCCAAAAAAAGAAAACTATGTTAATTATAACTGGTATGCTATGATAATCAATTAATGTTATCACTATGTTATGAGTTAAAATGCATAGAATGAAGGTGGGGACCTCTGAGGGTGCAGCCATTTTGCCTGAGCACCATTCATCTAATTCTACTGGCTTAGCTGTGCTTAAAATGCCAGGATTAGTTCTGGAAATCGCTGTTTGAGATGTTGATCAAATGAATGTATGCTATGCTGAAGAAACTGATCGAAATGGCCCAACAATTCAGGCCATTATATAAAAAAATGGTTATGATGTTTAGCTTCCGGGCGAGTAAGCTCAATAGATACATGGTTATTATCCCAGTACTCAAAAATAGGACCTGCTCTCTTCTGGAAGAAAAAACAGTTTTGTGTGTGTGTGTGTGTGTTTGTGTGTGTTTCCACATTCTAGGATTGGGACTAAAAAGTGGAAACTACAGAGAGGGAGGCTTTGGCTTCATTTGGGGGAAAATTTTTCAAGTGATGTGAGTTTCTTGCCAGTGGAATGAATTACTTTGTGAAGTAGTGAATTTCTCTTTATTGCAGGAATTCAAACATAGTTGGACTACATCTAGGTGGGAATTTTTCAGAATATTGAAGTTTTGGTTGAGTGTGTGTTGGGGAAGTTGAAAAATATTGTACGAGATATTTTTAAAATCCAGAGAGTCTTAAGTTTATGATTTTAGGTAGTGATAGTGAGAGTGGAATTCAGAGTCCTTCCTTCTCTCCTTGATCTTCTTTCCCTCCTCCCTCTCTTCCTTCCTTCCTTCCTTCCTCCCTTTATCCTTTCTCCATCTTTTTTTCTTTCCCACCTTCCTCCTTTTCCTCTCTTCCTAACTTCCCTTTTTCCCTCCCTTTCTTCTTCCTTACAAAATAGAAGATCTATTTTGTGTTAGACACTTTACTGGATACACTGAGGAGCAAAGCAGACATAAAACACATCCTCACAGAAGTTACAGATTTTTGGAGTTAGATAAAATGATCAATTGTGATCCATGCTAGGGGAGAACAAACAGGCATCTGTGCATATTGAGGGAGTCTGAACTGCATTGAGAAAATTGGGGGAAATCTTGGTGGGCCGAAGAGGAGAGGAAAAGATAGGAGACAGAGCAGGGGGAGTGGGGGGATTATGTCAAAGAATCTTTGGACAGCATAAATGATTGGGTGAAGTCATTTAAAAGTGAGAGGAAATGACAGATTATGAGACAATTCTAAGACTTTAAAGAAAGTGATTTACTTGAAAGAAACAGGGAAGATAGGAAGAAGAGTTGGCTTTTAAATGCAGATGACTAGCAAGGTTTTGACTCTGTTGAGTGTGAAACATTGATAGATCTGGTTTTCATGGATTGCTTTTGGACATGTGGGTTGATAATGATATGAATGCTTCCTTTTTATAAAGGAAATGCACCTGTAGCTTGATCACCTTTATTTCATTTTACTGTAGTACTATTTTGAATCTTAATCCTCCCCTGGCTTTTATTTCTGGGCTGACTGTAAAAATTCACAAATGTCTATCCTTCAAAATTTTGAAGAAGAACTGGAATTGTATGTTTATTGATAAAAGAAAATTGAATTAAGTAAGAGGATTACAGAGAAATAACAGCATTTCTTATATCAAAAGTTTGAATGCTACCGGAATGAGTGAGTTTGAGATTCAGTTATATTAAATTATGGTCCATGTATATCTATTGTAGTTGTAATTACCATCTGGGTATTTTTCCCTGAGATTTTGATCTAAACTAAAATTTGAATGCTAAAAGTGGTCTACGTGAAGAAAATTATGTCATGTTTTTACTAACCTAATTATTTTTTACACATTCTTACTGTCTCTTCCCTACATACTACTGAAGGTTTCACATTTGATTTTTTTTTTTTTTTGTTACAGGTTATAAAGGATCCTCCTCCACCACCACCATCTGCACCACAAGAGGTAAATGAGTGCCTAATGAGTGATGTGGATGGTTTTTTTTTTTTTCTGTATTTGGATATTATCCCCCAATTTGATCAATGACATTATTATTAGATAACTGTGATACCTCTGTATTGACTTTTGCATTTTTGAAAATCATTTGTTATTTTTTATCTTATGATTTCTTTCACATGCTAGAGGAATGGGACCTTCACATATTGATGAACATAGACTGGCCATCAGGATCAATAGTACATAGAGATTTAATTTACTTTTTATAGCAATATATCAGTAGTTCTGACATCACTTATTTTATTTACAAAACGTTGGAAGATCCAAGCTAGCAGTTTAGATATTATTACTTTCTCCAAAACGATTGTTACTTTTGTATTACCGTTAGCCAAAATTGTGTTGGCAACATGAAATACGGCATTGTACATTTGGAAAGCTTCTCAACTACCTATCTTTTTAGTACAAATTTCTCAGAATTCAGATTTACACATACATTGAGGCTTGAAGTGATTACTGAAATGTGGTCCTAATTTTAATGTCTTTTTATCTTTTAAAACATGAAATGATGAATAGATTTGTAAAAGACAAATGATGCTCATAGTTAAGGAGTAAACTTCTGATAACCTAGCAAAATAAGGTAGGTTTCTCAAATTGTGGAGTGGAAGGAGTCCCGATATTCCATAGCACTTCACCTGCAATGTATGCATGTAAGCATAAATATGACCACACGTGCTATATGTTTTTTATTACATTTCTTCTGTATCAATGGCATTATTTTGAAAAATGTTTAAATGTGAGCCAGTTCTAAGCAATATTTTAAGAAATTATTTCAACCCAGTTTTAAAAACTTGTATCTACATAGGAGGAGAAGGAACCTCTGCCTACCAAGAAGTGGCCCACCGTGGACGCTTCCTACTATGGTGGTCGAGGAGTTGGAGGAATTAAAAGAATGGAGGTTGGTATCTTTAAAAAAAAATAGAAGCTGCTAATCTGGAATATGTATTTCTAGAACTATTAAGCCATGGCAACTGTACTGTTCACAATTCAATATCCTAATATCCAGTTTTACTTAACACTGGGTCTTTTTATTTGGACAAGTTTTATTTCTCTGGAATAATCCTAGCCATTTCAAAACTATTCAAGAAGAACTGACTTTATTAGTCAAAGAACTGCATTGATGAGATCTCTGAATTCTAAAGGGCAAAACAAAGTTAGGGTTTTTCTCACTATTTTGGAAAAAATTATTGCCGAGAACATCCAGTTTGAAGAAGCGAGCTACTTAAAGTTACAACAATGCTTGTCTTTGAAAAGATCCAATAGTTATGTATTGTTTGAGGAGAAAAATGTCAAAATAGTATGTCCATGAGCTTATCACAAATGTTGAGGAAGTACATTTAAAGCTTTTTTTTACAGCTTATAGTTATCACTTATGAATGATCATAATTAATATTAAATATCATTTATAGAACGTATTGAATTTTTAGACTGAATGTGGATTAAAATTGAACTTAAGTATTATATCTTAAAAATCAAATTTTTACCACCACAGAAATATTTTTCAAAGTGATGCATTAATTAATAATAAGGAATCACTGCCAGCCCTAAGCCCTTGACAACAAGATAGACAGGCCAGCATCTCACCCCAAGGAGCAACTGGAGGAATTTTCTCATTGAATTATTGACTGTATTATTAAACACAAATCCTGGCTTTTCCTTATTAGTTATTCTTTAATTTTGCTTCTTGATAAGAAGGAGTTTTTGTTTTGCAATCATTGCACATGTCTCCTTACTGTCATATCAGCTTTGTCCCATTACTGCCAGAAAAAATCAATAAGCTAATTAACAACCTCACAACTGTTGCAATTTTCCCTTTTTATACATTTCAATAAAATTCAGATTCCCAAGGAGAGTTTCCCATTTGCAGAATAAATTTCAGTATTCTTCAGAAGAAGCCCAGACTTTCTTAACATGGTTATCATTACCAGAGTGGCTAAAGAAGTCATCCGAGAGTGGTTCTTATTTTCTTGATCACATTAGATCTTAAAATAATGCACATTTTCCTAAGAGCTTGCCACTTTATTGCTGAAATATTCTCTGAGACAGGTATCTCATTGCCAATAAGCCATGGAAAAGGTGGGCGCTAGAACCTATTAAATTTGTCTTTTGGAGAAGATTGTGCATGTGTTTGCATGTGAGTAATTGAGAACACCACACAGTACAAGAGAACATGGCTAGGCTAGCTCTTGTTGCTTGACACAGAAGGAGGGTCATTTTCCTTCCATTTGCCTTTGTTGTGTCATTCTAGGCTTGGAGGGTTGGGGAAAGAGTGGATTGGAGGTATAAAAAAAAAAGTCACACTTGTATAAAATTGTTACATATGAATATCTAAATATGATCTGTCACAGCTTATTTTTAGTTTATTTAGTCTCGTTCCAAAATGTGTGTGTAAAAAGATGTATGCAAGGGGAAAAAGAGTTTGACAGGAAATAGCACAACATGTTAGTAGCTTTCTCTTGATGGAGTGATTTTCAGTTTGTGTTCTAGAGTTCCCTGTTCCCAACTTATTTGACAGTGAGCTTGTGCTGATTTATATTCAGAATAATAAACTTAATTCCATTTTGAAAGCCACACATACAAAATACCACGTGACAGTGAGATTCAGATATATTAGTTCTTGCTCAAAACACTAAGAACTGTGGCAGATTTTTGTTACTCCAACATTCCAGTGTTCCAAAGATTGAGAACTTTTTTCTACAGAAAATGAAAGCATATGTATGAGCTCATAAATGGGTCCTGACTTAGAAGGAATATTATTGGAATATGTGCAGGAAAGCCAAGGGCTCATGAACATTCTTGAGTAACTCACATTTCAAGTGGTAAGAGTTATTGACTCTTATTTTTAATTTTAGATGTAACTGAATTTTATTTAAATTTAATTGGAATGTATTTGTTTGTGTTTTTATTTGTTGACTCTTAATTAATATGAAATTACATTGCCTTTCCTTTTTAACTGAAGAAAATTTATGAAAAGGACTCACTATTAGTAAGTTGGCATCCATTTTAGTCATAGATAATTTTGGCTACATTTTATGGAGTGCTCCATCAATGAGATGGAAATGAGAATGAAAGTGAAGGAAAAAGTGAAAAGTAAATATGGGCATCACAAAGGGGAAACACGGTGCATAAAAATACACAATAAAAAATAAACTGAGAATTAAGCATCATGAGACTTTCTCAAACATGAACTTATTTAAACTTGGAGAGGAAAAATAGAAACATAATTTGTTTTAAAACCATGCCTGTTTAAACCTGGAAAGTGTTTTCCTTTAAAAAATACCTTAAACTTGGGAAAAGTAAATGGAATTTTAGAAATTACCAGTACATTTGAATTAAAGAATAAATCTTCATAACTAATGTTATTTTAAGCCAGTATAGGAATTTTACATAGAATTTTTTTTCTTACTCCTCCTTTACATTAAATATTTAAACACTGTGGTAATGGCAATTTGCAGAAAGCTGGAACTGAGCTGATGTTAATAACAGCTGCTAGCACAACTGATCCACAATACCTAATGACTTCAAATGTGTGTTTCTGCCAATTCAGCGTGAAACTGTTTTTGTTTCTTTTCTCAATTCTGAAATTGCTCCTTTTATGATACAACCTCCCAGCCATCCAAATATGCTCTGGAAATTATGGAATTTCATTGTTTATCATGAAAAAGCCAAGTAGAATTGGAAAATTTTAGCTATCAAGCTTGCACTCTTCTTTCATGGTGAAAAGTCAGATATATTAATTCTGTTAAGGCTGCCTTTAACAATCTGTTCTTCTTCTTCTATCCTTTTTGACTATCAGTGTGGTCAAACTAAAATATTAAAATGTATACATAAAAGTGTGTATATATATTTAATTGTTTTTAAGAGTTTTAGGAGAGCTCTATAAAGTGTTTCTTAGTTTTCGACTTTGAGATTGAGAGGAGTTGTATTGTTTCATGGTGATAGTGGTGATGATGAAACAGCTGCTTCATATGAAGTAACACTCAGGGATTTATTTACTGCATTTCCTTTGACCTCAACAACTATATTATAAGTTTAGTCCTTTGATAGTTGAGTCCCTAGAAATGCCACATTGGGTCAGAACTCTAGTTCAACGATCTTTGTGTTCTTTATCTGAGAATACAGTGCCGGTGAGACTTGGAGAAAGAATACGATTATATTAGCTCTATGATATCCACCATGATATTGGGGCTAGTTAAAATCTAAGTTAAAAAATCTATAATTTCCAAATGAATCTACGTTTTATCTACTTATATTTCTACTCCGAATGTCTTCTTTGAGTTATGACATTCCTATGCTTATTTAACCATGTATCTTCTTTTGTTTTTGTTTTTTTCCCTTAAAATTGAGACAACAACTCCAAGAGATGTATCCTGGTTCTGGTGGTTTTTAGTTCAATTTAGCTATATCTAAAGATTTGTAAAGTTTAATTTATCTAGGTGAAGACACTGTGATTTGAAAGAGAAGGTCATTTCTCTGGAAAGAAAGCCAACTATCTAGCTCTAAAGGTTTAATGGTGTTTAAAACAATTTTAACAACCTCATAAAGAACATGCTAATACCACTGATCACACTGAAAGATACAGATACGTTTTAATGACTCAACAGGGTCCACTTGAAATTGAAAACCTATTCTAAAACTGTAATTAAAAAAAAGGTAAAAACATCTAAGTAAGCCTTATCAAAAAGGTATGAATGGTTCTTTCTGTGAACAGTAGCCATCTGTATTCCCACCCCTTAATTCAGGTCATTAAACTACTTTAAAAAGTGTTTAATCATTTTTTTTTCCTTTGTAGAAATCACTTAACTCTGGTGAGTCACTATGTGCCCTGCACAGAACTCCCTGTTTCTTTTTAGAACTTCACTTATCTTTGTCTTCTTTGGTAATGTCCTTGGTTTTTAGACTTCCCTACTGCTCCTGGTAGGACAAAGCCTTCCTGCAGGGGCCGCATCCTCTTTACATGCCCACATTTGCAAACATTTGGCCCAGATTTAGCCAATTTTCATTGAAAAATGAACATCATTTGACCTTGTTGTTTTTCAATATCCAGAGATTTCAGAGAAGGGAATTTCCTAAAATTTGTGAGATTCCCTGGTGTCTCTGAATTTTTTCTCTTCACAGCCTAGCCTTTTCAGATTTGCCTTCCTCCATGAAAAATAAATGTGTCAAGTTACCATACTCATAGGAGTAGAGGAACTAAAGACTGAAAGCTACTTTAGAAAGTTGATCTTTACAAAATTGAAGAAAAACATTTATAATTATTTTACTTCCAAAGGCTAAATGTTTAAATCATACTTTTTTTGCCATAGATTCAATAGACAGCTTGGAAGGAACAACTGACTCCTTTGTATAAAATATATTTGTAAAATTCAAACCTTATTTATTACCCATTTCAGACTACATATGTTCAAATCCCTGTCCTGCCACTTACTAGTTGTGTGGCTTTGGGCATGTCACTTAACCTTTCTGTGTCTCAGTTCCTCATCTGAAAGAAAAAAGTACAGTATCCATCTCATTGCATTTTGGTATGGATTAAATGCAGACTGGCACATGAAATCATTCAGTAAATGCTAATTATTGCCATCATTATCGTCTGTTTCCCCCAGTGCCATCAGTATATATGGGTATGTGTTTAGCTGGAAGGAGAACATACTTCATTAGAGAATAGAATTACACACTGTGATGCACTTCATACATACCCCAAAAATTAACTCCTTATTTGAAACAGTGGAGAAATGGTTGCATCAATTTAATTGATGCCAGATTTTTTACAAAGGGTCTCCATTTCTAGGATGTTAATATTAAGTACCTAAGGAGTGGTGAGAAACCTATTAAACCTCCCAAGCGGAGGAGTTTGGAGTTAGGATGCCTGTTCATCTTTGACTCTGAGGTGGTGAACCAATGAGCCAGCTAAACAAGAACTTGTTCCTCTAGGCCACTCTGCGTCTGATACTAGTATTTCCCATTGTTTTAAAGGTCCGCTGGGGTGATAAAGGATCTACCGAGGAAGGTGCAAGGCTAGAGAAAGCCAAAAATGCTGTGGTGACGATTCCCGAAGAACCAGAGGAACCCGTCAGGCCCAGACCACCCCGACCCAAACCCACACACCAGCCTCCTCAGACAAAGTGGTACACGCCGATTAAGGTGACTGTCCAAACTTTGTGGGATTTCAGTGCAACTTTCTGGCAAAGCTGTGGCCCCTTTAGTCTCCCTGCCCCCATTTATCTGAAGGAGGACCGAGGTACATCAAATAGCAGACATTCAGTTCACCTTATAGCAAGTGAACAATTTCTGGGCAACAGGAAACTCCATTGCTGTTATTTATTTATTCGTCTAACTTACGAAAGAAATGAGAGTAGAGAATAAGGCTTTACCCTCTTCACTTCAGTGCACCTATTTAGCAAACCGGTGTGGAGCACACTCCCCCAGAATTGACAAATCCCGTCTCCCCCCAGGGTCGGCTGGACGCACTCTGGGCTCTGTTGCGGCGGCAGTACGACCGGGTTTCCTTGATGCGACCTCAGGAAGGAGATGAGGTTTGTATGTGGGGACGTGCTGGGAAAATTCTGACCCTGGCCTCACGGGTCTGTGTGACGAAGGCAGTGAAATAATAATCAAAAAGAATCTAAAGTCCTCATTACAGTCAAGGAAGGAATTATTGTCTCGTGCAAATTCCTGTTCGGTAGAGTGCTTAATAAATGATTCTCTATTGTTAGAATATGTCTTTAAACGCTGTGCTTTAACACAAGGACTTTTTCAAGTAACGCAAAAATTAAGATCCACTGTACACATACTGTAATAAGCACCCTCGTCACTCTAGCCTTTGACTTGGATGACATCGGGTTCTGAGGTTTACCCAGTGGGCACGTGCCTCAGAGTCTCCGCTGCTTTAGGTATAAATAGGTATTTTCCTGCCTCCAGCATTTGATTTAATCTAATTTCTTGTCTATATGAAAGTGCCTTTAACGTTATGAAGCATTGTGGAAGTCTGCAGTGGTGAGATACACACATTTATGTATAAAAATACATACATACACACACACATATATGTTATGCATTTTCCCTATCAAGGAAGCCTATTTGAGGCTTTTTTTTTCTTTTTGGAAATTCGGCTAGAATTACTCTAGTTTTATAATTTCTGTAATGTATCAGCTCTATTTCCTGTTGTATCCATATAAGAAAAATAGCTTAAAATTCATTCATATGTAACAGTGGGCAGGTTTGTTTCAGAGACAGGACACTGTTAGCAATAATAACAGAACTGTTTCATTATGTGTCAATGTGATCATCATTCTGTGTTAACAAGTGCATGATCTTCATTCATCTCAGCTTCAGAGCATTGTAGCTTATTCAGGTTAGATAGGCTCATTTTTAAGGGTGAAATAATTGATGAAATTAATACTTACTTTACAATGCCATGTTATCTTTAGTGATTCTAGCTTGATATCAAAAATACAAAAACGTCAATTTTAAGATTTTACTTCTATGAAACGGAGGTAATCTTGACAACATCTGAGTTCAGCCATTTAGAAAAGCAATTTGGGAAAATAGTCCTGGCATATTCCTAACAGATCATTTACCCTTTGCTAGGACCAGAGGTAGAGAGAACCAGGTGGGTTGTGAAGCAGCCTCTTTCATTACCAAACCAACGCGATTAACAGAAATTTCTTATATGTAATGAAATCTGTGCCTGTGTTTCAATTTATGCACCGTCAGGAGTTCTGCTTCTGGAACAACATATAACAACTCTATTCGTCAATACGCTAGACTTTCACTTTGAAGGTTTTAAAATTGTTTTCATGATCATCTTAGTTTTCTCTCCTTCATGTTAGACATTTGTTCATTTGCTCAATAATTTTCATCTTTTTAAGTGTGGGGTATCATGCTAGCCCTGAAGATGTATTAGCAAAAACAGAGAGTGGTTCCAGAACCCTTGTCAATACTTTCTATATTTTTTAATTCTTATGATTGAAATTTTGTTTGCTTTTATCATTTGTAGTAATTTTGACTAAATTCAAAAATTTTTGGATTATAAATATGCACAAGTAATGGCATCAGGTAAAATTGGGGAGGTGGGTACGAACTATAGACTTTGCCCTTAAGAAACCTGAAATTTTTGGGGGGAAATGAGACAGATACAAAAATAAAATTTATTCCAGAATCTGGACTGGGTCATACCAGAGGTAGGTATCAAGTACTTCTGAGTGCATAGTGAAGAGAGATTAACTCTCCCTGAGGAATTTGGGAATGCTTATTAAAAAATATAGGCCTTCTATCTTTGAAAATGGGTAGGGTTTCATCAGGTGGAGTTAGGTGCAATGCGTATTTCCACGGATGCAACATCATAAGCAAAATCTCTGAGGCAGCCGAGAACAGTGATTTGTGGATTACAAGACAGTCTGAGGGCCGGGGATTAAACCACAATGATAGGCTGGGAACAGAAGAGAAGAAATCTTTGAGTTTGCATAAACTGATAAATTTGTGCTTTTGAATGATGCATTATACTCATTCATTCATTCAACAAATATTTATCTGGTGTCTAACATGTACCCAGCACTTCGTTAGATACCAAGTAAATCTAACATTCTTCTTAAATTATAGTGCTAGAATATTCTCCATGTTGCCCCACCAGGTAAAGCATTATTTTTCCATGGTTGAAGGAAGAGTAATGCTTGCATTATTTAGACTGTTTCCTTTGTTTTTTAGTAATTTGATTACACTTTTGTCTGATATACCCTTAAAGCCTTTTATTCTGACTCTTGAGGTTAAATTTTTTCAAAATTGAGAATTTTTCAGATTTTAGGGATCTGGTATAGTCCATATATATTATGTAAAGCATCATCTAATCTCATTATTGAGACATTCTGCTTCAGAAATATTAATTACTGCAAGTGAATAAATACAGACTAGATACTCTTAGGTCAGTTCAGGTCAGATTTTGCTTCCAAATGTATTTTGGTGACAAACTTAACATGAAACTTTCAGTTTTCAAAGATTGTGTATTTCAAAACTATAGATAAAAGATTGTAAATCTTTACTGTGTGTTGTTAACTAAAATTCCACTTTTTCACTCTTCACCTATATATGTGATTTATGATTTTTAACTTGTTTTTATTTAAATGCAGGACTTTAAGCTTAGAAAATATCAATTGCTGCTCAATTAATTGATTTGTTTTTCCATCAAATATACATTATGATTCTGTGTGTGCCTGACACAGTCTGACGTAATTTCTCTTCATAATACCTATCCTTGATAGCCTTACTGCTTCCGAAAATTTGTCAACTGTAAATTTTCATCACTTATTTCAAGCCATGGTTAAAACCTCAATGGGGTACTCCATGGGAACCTTCCTCACAGGTTGACACTCTGCACAGTTAATTGACAGTAATATGGTAAAGCTAGGAGCCCACCCAATAGTATAAACTCACTTTACTGTCTTATTCACAAGGATATTTAATAAATTGTGTTAAATAGTTTTTATTCCCCCATCCAACCAAACCAGTGATGCAAAATGATCATGGAAATCAGGTAACCATGGCATGATTTGCTCTAAGCTTCTGATTCCTGCTATGATCCTTTATAATATTTATTATTTTTTTAGACTGAGGTTTGATGTCAAATCTATAGTTATCAGCATAAAACTGTTTTCCTCTAGACAACATGGTAAATCTCTGCCCTCCCTTCTTTTTTACTTCCCATTTCCCCATTTTTCATGTTTCAGAAAGATTATTAATAATATCTAAGTTTCTGTCAACTCCACATCATCTACCAGGTCCTCTTTACTTGATAGAATTAATTCCAATATAAACTTCCCATCCCATACACATACATAACTATAATCTGTATTTTTTCAGAGATTATAAAATTACCTAGTGAGTCATCCGAATACTTTGGCAGAATTAGTGTTCTGTACGTTACTAAGACAACTAAAGCATCCCAATGTTTTTTATATGTTTACATTATTTTTTAGGCAGCCGTTATACTATTTCCATCACATGATCTCTAGAATGCTTTCCTCCCTGACCTTCCTTCCTTCCTTCTTTCCTTCCTTCCTTCTATGCCTTCATCCATCTTCTTTTTTCCTCTTTGTTTCTTTCAAGCACATTTACCTCCACTAGGCTCTCACTTTCACAGTTGCTAATTTCTTATACCAGTTTGTGCATTTCTTATATGCTATGCTAATTTTCTTCTTGGCTTCTTTTTCTGAATGAAGCCTTTCAATTGCTCTATTCTTTTCCTCTGGAGCGTAATAAATATCATTATTGATAAGGCCAACCTATGGGACTCTGTGATGCCCCAAAGAATCTGCACCAAATAGGATGCTTAATTATATTAAATATTTGGTGAATTTTACTTAAAAGGCTTTATAATAACCATAATACATCAAGTAATATTATCCAAAAATAATATTTAATTAGGTGTCTAAATAAAATCGTATTTGCATGGTGCATGGCATAATCTGTACTCACACTCTAGCACCCCACAAATTTTATTTACAAAAAAGAACATATAATATTTTAAAACTTCTAGTGCTTTTTTTTTTTTTTGCTTCAGAGTGTCTTTCATTTGATAAACTTGATTTACCTAGTAAGAAATTGAGGACCCAAAGGCAGAAAGAGAACAAGGGACTCAGAGCATATTTGGCACAGCTAATTTTGATGTATGATGTTAAGATGAGATGATTTGCTTTGGTAATGCTTTATCTATGCATGAGAAGAAGACCATGGCTCACTGTTACCTTCTATTTATTGTGGCTAATTAGTTAAGCCCTCAAAAATTAAACTGTCTGAACTCTACGGTTTTTACAAATTTAGTTTATATAGACATGGTTTGTCTCATAGGATTACATGGAGTAGAGAAAAATTTAAATTTGGGAGACTAAGATGTCCAAGTAGCAGTGTCCTCTAGCTTTCTGTCTATTCTTTGTGTTGAATTTTCTAGGCAAACCAGGGCATAATCACTGAATGAGAAAATTAGTCTTGTAGTTTTGGGGATAGCTTTAGATGTGACTGGGCTCCACAGCATAAGGAAGGGTAAAATTCTTTAACCTTAGAGGTCTTCAACCTTACTTCTCTGAAACAAATCAGCATTTGATTAAACTAATTTAAAATACTGAACCCAAACCACTCAAACTACTCATGAATGATTTCATATATATGTGTATACTATATATATATATGGTATATATAGAGACAGATATTGATTCTCACTGAGGTTTGTCTCTGCATATCAAATAATTCATTGGTACAAATGTTATTAGCTACTTAAAGACAATTCTTTTTGAAAGAAACTTTCTTATCAATATATACATTGGTGAATAAATTTTGCAAATAATTTTGTTATTTTCCTGTGTTTGTAAAGGTGTGTTTACATTTGATTATGCTTTTTATGAAATGTGTGCATGATGGTTTAAGAGGGATGTATGTGTATAAAGCATGTGTACATTGTAGAAATTAGGAGGACTTTTGAAAACATTTTCTTATCTTTGGATATGGATGCAGGTTTTTTGTTTTTGTTTTTTTTTAAGTACAGTCAATTACAATGTGTCAGTTTCTGGTGTACAGCACAATGTCCCAGTCGTGCATATACATACATATATTTGTTTTCATATTCTTTTTTATTAAAGGTTATTATAAGATATTGAGTATAGTTCCCAAAAAACTTGTTTTTTAAAATCTATTTTTATATATAGTGGCCAACATTTGGAAGCAGTTTGTTTTACTTTGCCAAGAAACAAACGAGAAAGCTTTGTCTTTTCTGAATATTAACGGAAGTAGCAGTCACACTCTTTCTTAAAAAGAAAAAAGACAACAAAATTTATGCTGCTTGAGAGACAATAAAACACAATTGTTTTGAGGTTGTGGCTGATGGTTTCAAAATAATAGAACCTCTGCCTAGTCAACTGCCTGTTTTCTACGTTGGAAACCAATCTTGTCATTTATTTATAAACTGTTTACTGCAGATTCTGCCTCTTGAGAGTTTAGTTTAGTAAACAAATCAGCGTACTTAGAACTAAACCCAGAGTCACGCATATTTACTCTGCGAGTCCCGTCACGCTGAATTTCAAGCCAAATGCTCTCCTTTTATGGCTCAGAGGCCACAGCGGGCTCGTTTGCAGAACTCACTGCTGAACTGAAGTCCTTGATCAAGTAACTGAAGTTCAGGCATAAAGTATCAAAGCGGCGCGAGAAACCTCTCGCTCTGCCCCCCGCTCCCGCCACCTTTCGGCGCCGCCAGCTCCTGCCAGGGTGGCGGGGTTGGCGGGCTGCACGCAGACCAGGCAGAGGCTTTGATTGTGGCTGCAGCTCCTCGGAGTCATAAATGTTTCAGCGCGCGGCGCGCGAAGGTCGGGCCGCGCGTCCAGGTGTAAGCTAGCAGGTTGTCGCCGACATCTGTTTGCGGCGGCGGCAGCGGCCTCCCCAGCCCGCAGCGAGCGGCCCGATTGTCAGCGGAGGTAGTTGAGAGCGGCAGAACCGTTTTGGTCTCACACTCGCTGCCTGGAGGCCTGAAACACCAAAGGTAGGAGTGGGGGTGGACACAGCTGCGATCCCAAACTTGCCTTAGGCGCAAATAAAGAGATCTAATGCAGTTTGACTCCGTTGCGGTGGGGAGACAGGACAGAAAGCCACTTCAGAGACAACTTAACGCTGCAACATCTGCCGCCAAGTTTCCAGGGAGTGACGGGGGACAGCAGGTACAGATCGGAGTCTCCACGTAAACAACCTCCATTAAGCCGTGGACTCTTTTGAAGGGCCTCCATCAAACATGCTGGAGTCCGCAGCAGGAGTGAGTTTGGTTTTCAAAGCAGTGTTTTGTTTTTGCAATAACAAGGTAATTTATAAATGATGCATTACCATGCGTTCTCCTTTTTTTTTATCTGAAAAGAGGAGAGTTAGAGAAGCAGCAAAGCAAAGAAAGAAGAAAGCACAGTCCTAGTTTTGGAGTTGTTCCACAAACCAATTAAATCTCCAAGGAGCTGCTTGTCTGTAATCGAGGTTATGTTAACCTTCAGACGGCGCAGTCCCTCATTCACCAGTAAGCAGACATAAATTAAAATAGGGCAATAAAAGAATCCCAGTAATAGTAACACCCGCGAAACACACCCACTGTTTCTTTGTTTCTAAACTCATAGAGCTTTTTATTACATGGAGGTGAACTAGAGTTAGATATTTTTCCCAGATGTATTTAATTTTTCAGTAAGACAAAATTTAGAAAATTGCATTGACTTTAGTTTTCTTCCTGTTTGTAAAGGCTTCCTACCTGTATTTGGATATTAAAAACCCAAAGTAAGATTTACATGTTAACGGAAGCATTTTTCTTTCTTGAGGAAGTTTCCCCCTCTAGCAACTAGAATCAGCCAGGGAAAAATGGAAGAATTTGTATAATTTTCACTGGGGAGGCTATAAAAACTCATAACTGTGCACACACACATATATGGCGTAACAGATTTGGTTAAAATATTAGTCTGACAAGTAAAGCTCCAGAGTATGGCCACGTAATAAAGATTCTACAGTAAACTGTTACCATTAATAATATTTAGGCTTCCTCACCTGAGGAAATAGCTGTGTGACCACCGCGATAAAGGAAAGGTGCTGACTCAAAGGTCTCCTTTGGAGTGGGGCAGCCAGGAAGCAGTGGCCCGGGGAGAAACGTTGGCATGTGGCAAAATTTTCATCAGTCAGTGGTGAAATAAGCAACATAAGTGCATAGTGAGTTTCCAATTAAGCTAAATTTATTACGTGGAGAGGATTTCTATTAAATGTACAGATATGATTTTCATTTTTTAAGATGACTGATGGTAGCTGCTTTAAAACGAATGTTCATCATGACGAAACTCAGTGTCAGCCATCTGATTTTTTTAAAATCTACAGGAAAAAACCCTACAAAAACCCAGCCTGAGCACAGGTTTATTAAGAACCAGAGGAGCCTGATAATCTCAGTGGCAAATGATTGCGGCTGGAGCCCTGGCTCACATCCCCAGTTCTAAATTTATGTTCCTTCCTCTGTCAGTCCTGCTTCTGAATTCTCATGCTCAAAACAGGCCTCACCCTCTTCAGTGGTGGCTTCTTCAGTGATTCTTAACCTCCCAGGGATTACTCTGAACTCTGTCATGCTTACAAGTCACCCAGTGCCCTGTGCTGTTAAACCACTTCATCTTCAGGATGAAGAAGCATCTGGAAGGCAGAGATTTTGTGCCATACTGCCTTTGAGTTCCCCACCACGTTTGCAAAATGTAAACCACTTGTGGGTATTTCTGAGCAGACTGAAACCTCCACTCAGACAGTTTGATATGTCACATGTTTTCAGTGCTTGGAATTATGCTGCTAATGACTGCACTCTTAAACTTAGTTTTTAGATTCCATCTAGACATTTTGTGTCATATAGCCAAACTTTGTAATAGATTTTAGGGGCTGTAAGATAGCCCTTTATTTTAGCCTAACTCAGTCAGTCCTATTGCCCACAGTGCTTTCATAAATTTTCTTTTTCATACTTAAATGAGAGGGTAGAGAAAAATATCAATTTTTTTTAAATTGTAGAGTGATTGCTTATGTTTTATTTCTATAAGGATCTGAAATTTTAAATGGTGCGTTAGGTCAATTATAATGTGGCATCACTGGAAAAGAGTACCACTAAGCTTTTCTAGCCTTTATGTTACCACAAATCTCTCTCATTTTTATTATCTCTTGTCTATATTTCAGGGTATCCTTAAAATACTTTAAATACCCTATTTAAATTAGTAAAAGTAATTAACTTTGGTTAATACATATTTGAAAGACAAATTTTTACTAGAATAACTCAGGTTGTGAGCATGCCATTATTACTACAATCCCACTGCCTGATTTATGAGTGGATGTGTATATGTGTGTGTGTATAATATGTTTAATATAAATATATGTGTATATATATTCCTATAGAACATATTTTCTCAGTGTGTATGTCATCAACTAATGTCTGCTTCAGTGGAAAATAACATTCATAAAATAGAGAGCTTTTTTGATACCAGTTCATAGCTTAAATAAAGCCATCTCTTAATTATGCATATAAGCTGGCAAAAGTGTTGACTCAGTTTGGTTCCCTAAAAGTGGAATATGGAATATGCAAAATGTAATTATTTAAATTACAAAAAAAATTAATTTTTTTCAAAGAAAGTATAAATAGAACTTAGACATTTAATTGACATTTTACCCCTGGTCCAAAATAACTTGTATTTAGTGGCATCATATAAATTTTACGTATTAACCGGAAGTTTAGGTAGGGATATTTCTTGGTTAAAATTGATCAGCAACCTTTTTCTTTTTAACATTTTTTATTGATTTATAATCATTTTCAGCAACCTTTTGATAATCAAGAAACAAAATTTATTAAGTTAGTGTAAATATCCTTTAATGCACTGAGTTTAGAAATAACTTTTTTTTTTTTGTCATCAGTGAGTTTTGGCATACTAAAAGCTACTTTTAAAATATCAAGAGCTAATATTGGCTGTCCAGGGCTAAAAACATTATTTTCATAGGCCTTAATATCCTACTTTGATGTAGGGCACCTTGAGGACATCAATTAAATCATCCAATTGGGAGCAGAAATATCAGCAAACGGAATTTTTAACCCTTTTTTTCCCTGTTTTTGAGTACTTTTTGCACAGCTTTCATGTAATTTTAATTACGGAAGATTAAATTTATATTTCTTTAAATACATCACTTTACAATTTCTAATAATTGACAAAAATCTATATTAGTCTGCATTAAATATTCAGCTTTCAACTGAGAGCTCAAAAGATGCAGTCCAAGGAGGGAAAAACAGTGCATTATTTTCTAGACAGTTTATTATTTTAACAGAGTACATAATAATGATGCCTTTGTGTCTACCAGACCCCCATTTATAAGTTTGGTTTAAGGAAACCTTCATAACTCAGTTAAGGAAATTGGCTTGAGTAGGAAGCTTTTATTGCCCCTTCTTAAAAATGAATTTATATTAACACATTATATAAATCTATACTTTTAAGGAGAAATAAATGACTTTTTCACTAAATAGCTTTCATTTCCCTTATTTCTAAATAAAACACTGTAATTTTTATAATATACACTTGTAAGCTCTAAGTAAATCATCTTTAAATTTGCTTCATATAATCTTAAAGTCTCCATTAGTTCCATTCTGAATCAGATCACAGCCTCTAACATTTGAGAAATTTGAAACTGTTGTACCTTCAAGGTATAAAATAAAAATGATTTACTATCCAAACTTTGCAAAAAATTACGTCTAAGACTGCCAGTGGACCTTCACCTATTTACCATTTTATTTATCTGACTTTGGATTAAAAATTAACTTTTTTATTTCAAAGAATTTTTTTTCTCCTTACGCTTTTTTTTTCAATTAATGAAGTTGATGTAGAGTTTACAGACATTTCAGTAATTTTATTCAGTGATATACCTCATGTCTCCCTCCTTAGAGAGTTCTTTTCACTTAGAAAATGTAGGGGAAAAGATGGTTCTAATTTCCTAAACTTTAGATTTCCATAATGCTTCTTCAAAAGCAGGTTAGTGTACTGAAAATAATATATATTAGATACGTTTTTCATA